GTGTGTGTGTGTGTGTGGTTTTCTAAATGGAGTGTAGATCTAAATAAATGTGAAATGTTGGTCTGAAAATGTTTGAGTGGGTTCCTCCTGCTGTTTACTTGTAATATCGATGGTTCCTGAGCGAGAGGAAGCGAACAGAGCTGAAGAATGAGGAGTTTGTTGACACAGAGTTGAGTCACTCGTGTTCGTTCGTTCCACTTTGTCTTGTGTGTTGTTTTATTTCTCTCATAAATTAAAATATAGTGATTCTGTGAACAAGCTGCAGATAATCAGTCACGTTGGTTAAATCTGGGCTTCACGTGACGGAGCGATGATTCTTCAACTGATGATCATCTGGAAGCTGCTTCACTTTGAAAATGCTGATTTAAACAACCTGCAGACGAAAGGTCACAATGGTCAGAACTGGTTGAGCAGTGGAGTGAGTCGTCATCATTCCTCCCATTGTTCAGCTTTTAACACCAATTCCGTAGAACCTGTGATTCAGATCTGTGGACCGTGAGACTATAGTGAAATCATCATGCTTGAGGTTTAATCTTAAAATGAGTCGAGCTGAGTTTCAGAAAGAGAAGGAACAGGGAGGATGATGCAAGTTTGTTCTGTGTGGGAGTGAACAGCAGTGACCGGGCCTAGTTTGGTGTTGAAACAAGTTGAATCTGCCGATGAGGCGGATGCAGAGACGGATGTTGATGCCGGTGGAGACGAGTAACCAGGAGACATTTGTAATTTCAGAACTGCAAATGGAAAATCAGCGTTAATCTGAGGTGTCAGCAGAACGCAGACGATCTACGGCCTCGTGACCGACACTAACTTAAAGATTATTAAAGTTGATAAAACTGACGCTGCTCCGCTGGTTGTTTCAGGTGCAGCCATCCCTGTGGGCATCGACGTGCAGGTGGAGAGCATCGACAGCATCTCAGAGGTCAACATGGTGCGATTCACTTTTTTGTTCTCCTTCGCTCAAATATATGAGTTTGAATAAATTTCAAAGACATAAGATTAAATCTCTCGGTTTATTTATAACTAAACTGTGATAAAACTTTTTTATTCCACTTTGTTTTGTAACAAACATTTGACATTTGGAGTTTTTCCTCCTCTTGTCTCTTCAGGACTTCACCATGACTCTGTACCTGAGACACTACTGGAAGGACGAGCGACTGTCCTTTCCGTCCCGCAACAACAAGAGCAGGACGTTCGACTCTCGACTGGTGAAGAAGATCTGGGTCCCCGACGTCTTCTTCGTCCACTCCAAACGCTCCTTCATCCATGACACCACCATGGAGAACATCATGCTGCGGGTCTACCCCGACGGAAACATCCTCTACAGCGTCAGGTACAGGAAGAGACGTTCAAAACACGGGGTTTAAAAACAGGAGGCTGAATCTTAAAGTTTGAGAAAACGAGACGGAGAGAAAGGTTATGCTCTGTTTCCTTGGCAACAGCAAGGAAGGGCTTTTCAGGACATGATGAAAGTTATCTGTGTGTGTGTGTGTGTGTGTGTG